CTGCTCTAGCCACCTACCGCTGATACAAAAAACACACTACACATGCGCAACCACCTCCCAACTGTTAGAGAGCAAGTGATTTGCCATGCATGAGCACTGCACACTCCATGCCAACCATGGGCAGCTGAAGCAAGAGGGCGGAGAAGGGGCGTAGGGTGGTATAACCCATTCTACGTCATGTCTTAGTAGTGGGGTTGGGGGCGTAGCTCTGTATCCTTGCTGAGTGCTGGACAAACTCACTTTGGGACTGTAAATTGCCATTTAGGCTGAAGCCTTAAAGTTAAGATTAGGCCCATCTATGGACTTTCAAATATTTACATATTCTTAACAAGCAGCAATTAAGCTGTTAAACAAGTCCTCCCCGACCTTTGTCGTTACAGCCACTGTGGAGCAAAACTCCATATTGTTGGTCATAACCCAAATAAACTGCACAATAGGCAAATGTCATCTGTGGGGGAACAAACTCAACCCTAGATGAGTTAATGTGCTCTCTGTGATTCCACTTAGCACTGCAATAAACATCCTTACCTGCTTTTGAACTGTAGATATTGAAACAGGTTAGCACCTTTGCTGAAATCTTTTAAAATGAATGCTAAGTGTGACGTTCCATAATCACTTGACCAGCATCAGGATTGTACTAGGAAGAACTACATCCCTTTCTCTTAAAATTGACATGCAGACCAAACTGTCCAGCAAAAGAGACAGTGAGAGGTAGTGTTGGGACAGGCTCACCCAGTGTCCAGAGCAAAGATGCAGTTTTGCACCCCTTCACCCACTGCTGACAGATGACCAGGGGCGGACTGACCATTCGGAAACTTGGGCACTGCCTGAGGGCCCGGGGTCAGTAGGGGGCCCCATGAGATGCCACTGGTACCTTTTTCATAGGCTTTTTTGAGTTTGGGCAAGGACACAGGGGCCCCATGATCCCCTATTGCCCGGGGGCCCCATGAGTTGTCAGTCCGCCCCTGCACATGACATAAGTGGGTGTGCATCCCTACATGTTCTGGCACTCTCATTTTCTTCCCCCAGTGCTCCAGGTGTCCAAAGTTGTCACATAAGGTGCACTGTGTATGTGTGCCCATTCAATTGCTTTCTGGGGGCAGGTGGTTGCGCATGCGCGGTGAATTTTTTGTGTTGGCTATCCATGGTTGGGGCATAGGAGGCAGAGCGTGGGTGTGTTGTGCCCTGGTTGAAAAGAAGCTGCAGTCCACTAGTTGCCCATCACCGATCTGGAATGTGCATGCGATGATCACCGCATGGCACTGCCCCCCACACACACACTTGATGGAACTTCTGGCCCCAACCTTCCCCACACATACTTGATGGAATTTTTGCCCTCCCTTCCTTGCCCTGGCCCTAGTGACAAGGTTGTGCTAGGTGGATTTGTCATGTGACCCTATGACAGCCAATCACAGTGATCATATGAAGCCTAGGAAACACCTCTGGTCTTAAAAGGAAAGTCCATTATACCTACCTCTGCTTTAATGGTCTGACGCCCCTGCAATGTTCCTCCCTGGAACCTTCTCCCCTGCTTCTTCCAGATGCTGTTATTCGGCCATTTTGATTGGCTGGTGCAGATGACAGTGCACAGGCACTATGATGGAATGCAAACTGAGCTTCACACACACATTTCAGCTTACATTCTAAAAAAAGACTGAGATTAGGCAGGTAGGGTTATTTTATTGCAAACGAGACATTGCATGTCTCTACTGCCCTAAAGAACAAAATACTTACAGTTTTTTCATTTCTCACTTTACTTCCCCTTTAAGAACCCCTAAATGGGACAAGCAAGCACTAGCAACTAGAGGGCACAATCCATTTAAAACTACTTGTCCACCTAAATCTACATAAGGTGACGATTTCACTGCAGAACAAATAGCGTAGTCACCCTATTACAAAAAGCAGAACAATAACAGGTCTACTGGCAGGATCAATAGCTGATAAAACTATATTGTATGGCAGGCAAAAAAAAAAAAAACGGCAGTGTAAATGCTAATGACAGACTGCAGCATCTTATTAGCTCATAGTCCCCAGTGTACATGGAAATGATAGGTGCAGGCCTTACATAAGCCATCCAATGTGTAAAGCTGACCATCTGTGTTCCTATACAGTCCTCTGATCAGGTGGCCTCTAGACACTGGTGGGAATTAGAGCAGCACAGATGAAAGTGGATGCAGTGAGGAGTGAGAGGAATGAACTAGGCAAGGGACCCTTTGACTTCACCACATTATGGAAGCCACATGGGGATCTGTGTAAAGTGAGAGGACTGGCTGGGTGAGCTTCGGGAAACAAATTAAAGGCAAACACAATCTGTTTTTTGAGTCAACATTCTTCATGACTTGGAAAAAAAAAATCGTGAAACTAGCCAATGTTGATAAACTGTGTTACTCCCTTGTGCTTACATTGTAAAAGCCTAGATAAATGCGTTATTGAAAAATATGTGATATGAAGAAATAAAAATTATGGATCCTCATAGGACACATCTTTTTAAAGTGGTTTACTTATTTATTTACACACATCAGGAATATAAAACCTTTCATGAACACAAGTGGGCTTATTAAAAAAGAAAGGCAATCCAGAGCATGCACATAAGAATTTTCTAACCAAAAAGATCACCTCTGCGCTCTAGGGATCACTAGATTGCTACACCCCTCTCCCCACGTCTCAAATGTACATAGGAAAAAGAAGTAACTTTTTCTTTTCAATACTAGACATCCCTTCTGCTTCATAGCCTTTCAATGTCAGATATAGTGGTCTCAAATAATTCCCATATAGTAAGTTAAAAAAAAAGCTTATGGTCGTTAACTGTAACCAAAAGTTCACTTTGCAATGTGCCATCACTGAATGGTTGGGAATAGGAACTTTTAAAAAAAAAATGTATTACAGGTACTTTTATAGCACCATCAATTTACACAGCACTTTACATATATATTGTACATTCAAATCAGTCCCTAACCCTCAAGGGGCGTACAATCTAACTTACCTAACTTACATTCATATGTGCACATACTGGGGCCAATTTAGATAGGAGCCAATTAACCTACCAGCATGTCTTTGGAGTGTGAGAGGAAACCACAGTACCCTGAGGAAACCCATGCAGGCACAGGGAGAACATGCAAACTCCAGGGAGATAGTGATATGGTTGGAATTTGAACCAATGACCCTAGTACAGCAAGGTGGATGTGCTAACCATTTAGCCACTGTGCTGCTTTAACAGATCATTTCACTTTTAGTGAATTTGTCCTTTAAATAAACCTTTCTCCTCTCGGTGAAGTCAACAAATACTTACCTCTTTCCACACTCCCAAGATCTTCCTTATCCAGCCCAGTAGGGATGAGCTCAAGCATGTTTGGACATGAATCCAAACCCACCAGAGCTATCACAGCAGGAATCTGTCAAAGCCGATAGTCAATCATAGGTGGAAGACACATTGCCCAATTCATTGCCCAACTCATAGCGGCAGGCATTTACTCCCCTTGTATATGTGCGGCTGCAGGGCAGAGAATGGGTTTGGCAGCTACCTGGTGGGATAGCTCAGGTAGGTTTGGACTTGTGTCCAAACAAACCTGAGCTCATCCTTACTGGGGCTGCATAGCGAAAAACCTGGGACTGGGGAAGGAAGTATTTCAACATGCGGGCTACACTGAGGGGATTGGGGGTTTACTTAAAGGACACATTCACCTAAAGGGAAACTGCCCTTGAAAAGATTAAGCTAAATAATATGGTGCAAAATTACAGTAACAAACAGATTTAAAACAGATTTAAAAAGTCAATAGATTTATATTTAATCTTTAAAGAAACAAAGAAAAAAAAAATCAATAAATACAATACTGCAAAAACAAGGATTGAAGCTTGGCTTTATTGTTGCAGTTATTCCCTACATGTTTCGCCCAACAAGGGCTTCCTCAGGGAGGAGAAGCTTCAATTGCAATACAGTCTACAATACATTGAAATTAATATACATCAAAACAAAATTATAACACAAATCAACACAATAACATAATATTAAAAAAATAATAAATAGAAGAATTCACCGGCTCAGCTTTTGCTGGGCTTCCTCCTCCCCTCTTCTTCCGGCTGCTGGAGGGGATGCTGTCAGGATGGATGTCATGTACCGCCTGACGGTATCTCTAGCAACCCACAGGACAGAATTCCCCAAGGCGCGGGGTCTGCTTATTCACCAGGGCCCCTGATGGTGGGGATGGACTTGGAGCAGACTGTGACCAGGTTGCGGCCCCTAAGTGCACCCGCCTGAGGTAGAGGGAACCGCCAGAGGTATGTACTGGAAGAGAGCCTGATGTGAAGAGGCGGATATACCTGGGCAGCAGTGACCGGATCCATGCAGGAAGGATGGACGGATGGATGGCAGGGTAGTGTAGCGTAGTCAGACGGGCCGGGCCAGGTCGGTAACAGCGGACACAGAATGGTACAGAGCAGCAGACCGAGAGTAGTCGGGTCACACGCCAGGTCCAGCAACAGGAGGTCAGATAATCAGGGGTATGCAGGAGAGTAGTCAAATGAGCCAGGGGTCAGAGCAGGAGATGGTCAGCAAAGGTCAGGATCAAGCAGGGTCGGCAACAAGGTCAATCAGCAGGCAAAACGAGCAGGAACAGATAATGAAGACCATACGGTAATTTGAGTCTGTGTAGGGCTGGTTTAAAATAGTGCGCCCTGCACTGTCATTGGTGCCAGGCATGCGTCCGCGATCGAGAGTGTGCATGCGCGGCCGCCGCCGTTGCCGCGGCTGCCTAGGTCCTAGCGCCCGCCGGTTACAGTGTATCGGCGTTCTGCGCAGACCCGCACGCTGCCGCAATCCCTGACAATGGAGTGTGTGGAGGGGGCCGGTAAACATGTAATTTACCACCCCCTTCCTTGTCTAAATAGACAGAGTTAATTATCTGTTCATTCATAACTGATGCATAGCAAACTGTGTTTACTATGCCTCAGTTTGTGAATGAATGGGAAGCTCTATACGGATCAGGGGCGGACTGACAACTCATGGGACCCCGCGCAATAGGGGATCATGGGGCCCCTGTGTCCTTGCCCAAACTCAAAAAAGCCTATGAAAAAGGTACCAGGGGCATCTCATGGGGCCCCCTACTGACCCCGGGTCCTCGGGCAGTGCCCGAGTTTCCAAATGGTCAGTCCGCCCCTGGTAGGATCCATTCCTGTCCATTCATTTAGTGCTGCCGAGAAGGAGATTGAGGGCTGTGTCCTCAATCTTCTTTCTCTGTCTCAAAGGTGGAACATCAGAGGTCTGTTTAGATCTCTGATATCTTACCAAAGCCCCCAATGGGGCTCCTAAACAAATTGTTGAAAAATAAATTAGTAAAACATAAAAAAAATAAAATAATGAAAATAAAAACTACTGACACCAGTGTGGCAGAACTACCAGGGTCGCGGTCCGCTACCAGGCTCGGAGGGAAGGGCTCTGGCCGGGGTCCAGGGTGGACCTTCATGGTTTCTTGCACCGTGGCCCTGAAAGTTCTAGTTACACCTCTGATATAAGTGATGGTCAGAGACTGTATACATAACACAAGAGATGGTCAGAGACTGCAAACATAATACAAGAGATGGTCAGAGACTGAGGACATGAGACAAGAGATGGTCAGAGACTGAGAACATATTGCAGCAGACTGTCATAAATTGTGAACATTCTATACAGTAGGAGTTGTTGAAGACTGGGCATGCATCAGGAGAAGCATGCCCCACAGACTTGAGCAGAGACATATTACATGAGACTGCTAGAAATCATTGCTATAAAGCTGGCCATAGATGGATAGAATTTCAAACATAAATTCTTAGGAAAAGTCTTGGGAAAACTTCTCCGAACATTCTCAAAACATTTGTTTGTGGTTCAAAAGATTTTGTTTGCATTTAACATTTGACTTTGAAATGAATGGACTTTACCAAACAAACACCACATATACTGTTAGAAATTTGTTTCTTCAAGAAAAGATTTTCACCCCGCTCCTTCAAATTTTACTGTCACTGGGTTCAAAAATGAACAATGATTTGAACCATTAATGATTTAAAAAATTAACAAACTTTCTTTCTTTTCCTAAGCATTTTTGTTCAAATTTCTTCCTATCTTTGGCCAGCTTAACTGGGCAATTGGGAAACACGGATGGGCCCAAAGGGCCAAAGAGCCTCATGAGGCCCCCGTGATGAAGGTTGAGCACCAGGGAAATAGATCAAGGTAACATCTTACCATTCTGGTAATATAAATATGTTGTCTGTTCATGATGGGTTACCTTTATCATTTGATCGTTTTTGTGATCAATATGATTCGTTTGGTTGGCTGAAATTGCTGGAAAATCATCCTGTGAATGCAAAGCTAGCATTAGACTTTGTATAGATGAAAACTAAAATGGAATGGTCGGAGGAAGATCAGTTTGTTGATCTTCTTCTGGATACTGTAAGGAATGGTGGGTGTACTGAGATTTACTTTAACCTCTTAAGCTCCAGAAAGTTTTATCCCCTTCATGACCACGCCAGTTTTTGCTATTCAGCACATTGTTTTTCACACAAATGCAACACAAAAGGCAAAGGCTACAATAACACGACTGTGTGGACAGTTTGCTTTGCTCAGTGGCAGATAAACGTCTCTGGACACAGCAACACTCTGTGCTATGGACTCATACAAACTGCCCATTAGCTGCAGCCAGGTTGTTTGCAGTCAAAACTCTGCAGAAATCCTGGCCCTAGACGTGCACTGGCTGCATCCAGGGTCGGTTAAAGACTCTATTTACATGAAACCACTCAGATGATACATGTGAACAGCGGTGGTGCTGGCCATTGATTTGTACAAATCTGACAGCTGCTACTAGTCACACACACTGTGTGCAGGCAGCATTTAAAACTACTGCATTTGAAATCTACTGACTCTCGCCAGTGACCACTCCCGGCCACTGCTGTAAGGCTGTGGAATGTAGCTTAAGGCAACACAATGCTGAATACAGCCATGAGAGACAGTGAGTGACTCCAGCAGGGCCCATCATAGATATTTCCCAGCATGCTGGAAAATCCCAGCTACTAAGCATTCAATCCTTTATTTTTTCTAAGATTTACAGGAACAATTCCTTCATCATTCATATTCTCAGCAAATGTTTCAGCTACATGCTGCTGTTATATTTTTTATAACACTTCTCTCCCTGGGAACTCAAAGCACTTTACATGTCATCTTGGGTTGTAGTGGCATAGTGACATAGCTGGGATTAGTGTGGTATGCAGTAGGCTGTGTTCCTCTCACCCCGCACTTCCCTATGAGTGGGCTATAGGTGTGGAATTCACCACTCACCCCCTCTCCCCTTCCCCTACTGCAGCAGCTGTGAGCCTGTGGGACTTGATGATGCTGCAGGGAGGAGAATCATGGGACATGTAGTCCCCAAGGAGCACAGTACAATGCAAATGGATAAGGTCATGGGCTTCGCTACCCAGATTGCCATGCACACTGGCAAGGTGATCTGTTAGTGCATCCACCTGTCCCCTCCACCTGGATGGCACAACAGTGCATGGACACTGGAATATGTTGTTCTTAATGGAGAGCTGCACAGTACCATGAATGAAGTAGTGGACTTTAATATCCACAATTCCCTGCACATAGGACTTTTCCTGGGTATTCTGTGACTGAATTTGGTCTTTTGCAAGAGGGAAATAGCACATGTAGACCTGCTATTGAACCTGCCAGTGTCCACCAAAGAGACCACTACAGAGGAGTGCATGGAGAGTCACTGTGTCTTGGGACCAGAGCTGGGGAGACCCCCTGCCATGTGTGCCTACCACCAGTGAGGACCTGATTAGAAGGTATAGATCATAAGGACTGAGACTTCTCGTAGCGGACCTGTTGCATACCAGGATCAGTGAGCAGAACAACTGAGCTCAAATCCATAGTTAATGCAACAAAGACTGCTCTTCACTTAGCAGCTCATCAGTCATCCATTACATGCTCCTAAAAGGACAGCTCCATGTGCACCACTTTACAGAAGGGTCTCAACATCAGCTGGCTTAACATTTCACATTGGGAGCCAGATATCTCTACAGTGTGCACATGAGGACATTTATTTCCTTGGGTTAGTTTATGACTATATATTTCCAGTTCAGCAAATCAGTATCTTATGGGTCAGCCTTTACATCCCCTAGTACAGCATCTTTAAGCCCATTCAATTGCTTCTTGGTTGATTCATGCATTGTTTAGCTGCATAAAACATAATTTCAGAATACCGTCCAGTTGCTTGTGTCCTATTTTCTGTGCATTATTATAGAGTGATAGCATACTAATGTTTAGGTGCACAGGGGAATAGCAAGGCAGCTGATCCTTTACCCCCTTCGGTTCATCTGCCTGCCCTCTCCTCCAGTTTACTGTGTAAACAGCCACCTGTACTGTGACAAGGGATAGGTAAGATGCAGGTCATCTGTGCAATTCTTTGCTGCCCCCCTCTCCTCCTGTCAGCAGCACAGAGTTTAACCACAAGAGAGGACTGTGTGTGTGGGTTCTATTCCCCCTCTCTCCTAGAAACAGCAATGGAACAAGCAGCAGTAAGGAAAAAGGATTCTCCCTAGAGTGTAACAGGAGAGTGATGTGACAGGAGTGGGACAGGTGGGAAACTCCACCTAAGGGAGAAAGAGTCTAGCCAGCGGAGCCCACAGTCATATGAGGGACAGCCAGAGGGTATAGAGCAAGACCCAAGTACTGAGGGAAGAAGCTACCTACCAGAGATGTCATGGGCAACCCAGAGTGAGCAGATACCTGATCAAAGAGACCACTGCTGCTGTGTCGCTGAGTCTGGTGAGAGGGCCTTGTGGCCGCTAATTGTTACCACCATTAATGATTGAGCCTTTAGGAACTACCTTCCAGTTACTCCATAGATCCAATACTGCTGCCTGCAGACCTTATTGACCCGCCTTAATGCACGCCAATGGGCACCAACATTTAGCTGACTGAAGTGTCAGGACTAAAGAGGGCCCTTAACAGTTGCTGCCCTGAGGCCTTGTTTTTTTTTGGTTAAAGAGGTATCTCTTTAGAGACGCTGCATCCCAGCCAACCCCTTAGTGTACACTCTAATTTAGTGTGTTTTTATCATCATGTGTGCTGCATTTAACATCTACTTATATTGTTTATTACTGATTTACTAACTTACCCTCCTGATTCTATTTAGGGGTATAAAATCTGAATTTTTTTGCCAATTTAACATAGTTATTACTCTGTCTAGTAGACTGTGTTATAATCTATCAGATGTGTGCTCATTTATGTTCAATTTGACATTTATTCTAATCCGTATCTATAGACTAAGAGCCTTTACCACTAAACAGGTGTGTCTATTTACTGGGAGCAACCCACGGCCAGGTTAAAGGTATTTTAAAGGTATTTTACACTTGTGTATTTATCCGTGCATGCAGTGATTATTAGTCAACCAGGTATGTCAGAGGGGCCTTGGTTGTTCTCGGAGTTGGGGCACAGAACAGAAAACCCAAAGTTACCAAGCGGGTCCTCTAGGGGTGGCACTACAGGTGTGTCAGTGGGAACAGAGCAGCTTAACCTCCCTAGCGGTCTGATTATGTCCATATTTCTGTGCTCAAAGCGGTACATTTTTTTGCATGGAAATATGTATTTTTTTATTGTAGGCCTGTAATTTTTAGGAATAACTCACTGAAATCTGTCTGAACAAGAGTCTAGTAAACATCCCGGGTAGGATAAAACTTGAAACAGAAATCATAAATTGTAATTTAATAAATAATATAATAATAAATTTAATTCAATAATATAATCAAACCAAAACCACTGAAATTTGAAATATAGCGCCAAGTTCGCACATCACTGAGCAAAGTCGCAAAATCGTTTTCAGTGTCTGATGACGAATTTCCCCACGAATCATTATCACTAAATTCTGCAAGTAGCTCTAATTTACTATCGCTGTTCTCTAGCTGGTCTAAAACCGCTTTTGACCTAAAGGGATGCTTTTTGGACGCCATGGACATTTCTCCGTTTCCAGGCAGAAAGAACAGTAAAAATGCAGGCAGGGCACAGGACAAAGCATTAGGGACAAAATGTATGTGAAATGGTTTGATACAGTAATGTTTTACTATGTGATTTTAGTGATTTTAGTGAATGTCACTTTTTG